CAGAACCAGAGCCAGAAACAAAAATCAATCCATATTTAACCCCTTAAAAGGCCAAAAGGTTTTAATAAACACTTCTATAACCTAAGAATAGCTCAACCCGTTTGCATTGAAGTCCCTTACTGAATAATAAGACTTAGTATGCCATAAGCCTGGGATTTTAAGTGGTTAAAGCTTTAAAATCAGCCCTATTGGCAAGCTTCCAAGTTGTGACATTTTGCTAACAGTTTGTAATTAGGATCATTTCATACAGAGCTCTGCTGGGAGAGTCTGAGTGACTTTTTTTAATCGTAACCTTTAAATAGGTGGGAATGATGCTGAGTAACAAAATGCATGTGGAGAAGAATGTATGCAGTCTCTGAATAGGCCATCAGATAATATTAGACATGTTTGTGTATGAGAATGAAAAACAAAGACAAAGACTTTGAGAGCAGTGGTCTTTCTTCTCCAACAATATCTAAGCCTTAGAGGCTGCCGGCATCACCTGTGATAACAAAAGCATGGTGTAGTTACTTATTCCTCACTCTGTAAATGCAGACTCAAAGCTGCTGACATGGAATGCAAATAAAAAGAATGAATTGTGTAATAACTATGTAATAAATCATATACAACTGTGTAATTACACTTAAACAGTATACTGCATTAAAACAATAGTAACTCCAGATATCTAAGGGTTAGAAAAAAAAGGGATCACACTCAAATGTTGATTTTCTGACAGGGAACGAAAGAGACAAGAGAAAGACTGTTTTGGGACAGCTTTAGTGAACAAATTGCTAAGCACAGAGGCCGAACGGGCAACAGCACTGCAGCACTGTCCCACACTCCCCCTCCTTCTCCCACAAGAAAAATACAGAGAGAGAGAGAGAGAGAGAGAGAGAGAGAGAGAGGGAGAGAGAGAGAGAGAGACAGAGACTGCAATCCAGTGGCCAATCGGCATTGTACTCAAAGAGTGAAGGAGAAAAAAAGATGCTTTGAAATGAAGGTAAAGCTAAAATGCTGCAGTCCAAGCCAGATTCACACAGAGAAGTCCTGCGGTGCTCCTTTATTTGGGAAAATTCAGCCAGCACAATGGAGCATGAGATTAAAATGAGCTCACCGGCAAGTCTGTTTCAGCACCACGGAGAGCATCACTGATTCACACAGCTCACTGAACACATGATTCAGTACCATCAGTATATCAGTGCTTGTAGAAGAACCATGAGCAGTACTTAACCTACCTCACTAATGCTTTTGTGGATGCAATCAACTCCCCACAGCAATGTTGTAATATCCAAAGTAGAGGCTTCCCAGAAGAGTAGAGGCTGTTGCTGCAGTGAAGAGGGACTAACTCTATAAGTACCTTCAAATTTGGAAGAGATGTTGGATGCTGGAGCAGATATCTACACTTTCGAACATATAAGGTAGCATGTCCATTTAGAACAACATAGAGGAACATATCCACGTTCTTTTTTAGGTTTAGTGAATCCCATGAACAGTGCCGGGATTCAGCACCATGGACAGGAGCTCTGAATTACTGCAATCAAATGTTGGTGCTTGTAGAACAACATAGTGTGTCCACGTAGAACTAGATAACATGACATTATGGGTAATTTAGTTGGGCCAACAACACCATCATTTGGCAATAAGACCCAGAGCAGAGATCAAAGCACAGACAGTATCACGCAGCTTAAGGCACAGAGGATTCAGTCTTATGGACAGTACTTCTATTAAATAACAGTGCTTGTAGAACAACCACTTGACCTCACTAATGCCCTTGTGGCCGAGGGCAATCAAAGCCTCACAGCAATGTTCCAACATCTAGTAGAAGAGTAGAGATTATTACTGCAGCAAAGAGGGACCAGTTCTATCAATACCCATGATTTTAGAAGACATGTTAGATGAGCAGGTGTCTACCTTTTTGAGCATAATGTAGAATGTAGAAGAAGATCAAAACATACTCATATTGTCATCTTTTTCTCTTTAGGCCATCACCATTTTTAGGTTTGGCAAATCCCAGACATCAGCACCATGGACAGTGGCTTAAACTACTACTATGAAATCCTGGTGCTTGTAGAAGAACATAGTATCTCTGTGTAAACGAACATAGTATGGCATTATGAGTATATCTTTATATAGTTGGGCCAGCAACAAAATTTTTGGACGTCGGCAATAAGGACAGCATCACTGATATACACAGATCAATAAGCAGTAGATTCAGCACCATGGATAGTGGCTTTGAATTACTTCTATAAAGTCGCAGACTTTGTAGAAGAACATTGCATGACATTATTGGGTTATTTTATTTAGTTGGGCCAGCAACGCCATCACCTGGGCACCATAAGGCCCAGTATGGATATCAGCACCATGGACAGCAACATTGATCCATGCAGCTCAACTGGCAGTGGATTCAGCACCATGGACAGCAGCTCACGATTACTGTCAAGTCATGGACCTTGTAGCAGAACATATCATCTCCAATATGCATATAAAAATTAAGTTTATGACTTTTTCAATTGGCAAAGAATCAAAATCATGTCTTAATTTGGTTTACTGCTATCAACTCATGATGCCTCCAGAAGGACATAGCATGTCCAGTATGCAGATTATGTTTTCAAAAATTGTAATTATGTTTATATCTTTATTTATTTGGGCCAGCAACACCATTTTTGGATTTGGCTCTATGCAGACATCAGCATAAGCACACACACACACACACACACACACAAACACACACACACATCAAAAGAATTTGTGGCAGTGTCTCATGTGTGTGAATCCCTGGATGCATCAAAAAGCTTTTAAATCTGATCCCAAAAAATGGCATAGTTCAAAGGTACATCATCCTAAACCTCTCTCATCCTCTCTCTTTCTCTCTGTCTCTGTCTCTGTCTCGTTTTCTTTTCATGCTATCTCTCTGACCTCATCTTTTTCATGTAGCATTCTCCTGTCTTCTCATAAGTCCTCTCTATCTTTCTTTCTACATCTTCGTTATAATTGTCCACCTTTTGTCATCCATCTCTCTCTCTCTCTCTCTCTCTCTCTCTCTCTCTTTCTCTCTCTGCTGCCTCTCCTCCATTCCGCACATACTCATCTCATCATCCCTCTCTCAGAGCTGAAAAGGTTACGGCTCCGGCTCCACTGCGGAGAGTTCAGGAGAATGCGTGTGCTAAAGGAAAGTCTCTTTCTCTCTCTCTCTCTTTCTCCCTCCCTCTCTCTGTCTCTCCCTCTCCCCCTCTCTCTTTACTCAGAGGAAGAAAAGAGAACAGAAAAAGAGAGAAAAGGGAGACAGTGAATAAATGTTATGTATTTATTGTCTCTTCTATTCAGCTCCCTTTTCTCTCTTTTCTGTCCCCTTTTCTTCCTCTCTCTGTCTCTTTTACTCTTCCTCTCTTTCATGCATTCTCTATATCTCTCTATCTATTTCTCTCTCTCTGTCCCTTTTACTCTGTCTCTCTTTTACTCATTCTCCCTTTCTCTCCTCCTTCTCTTATTCTCTTTCACTCATTCTCTCCCTCATTCTCTCTATCTTCTATTCTTTATTCTTTTTCTTTCTGTCTCATTAGTTCTCTCTTTCTTTCACCTTCTCTCTTTCAATCATTCTGTCTTTTATTCTCTCTCTCTTTGTCTGTCTCCTTACTCTCTCTCTTGCACTCATTTTCTCTCTTTAATTTTTATTTTTTGTTGTCTTATTTTTTATTCTCTCACTTTTCTCTTTCTTTTTCTCTTCCTCTCACTATGTCTTTTACTCTCTCTCATTCACTTATTCTCTCTCTCTCTCTCTCTCTCTCTCTCTCTCTCTCTCTCTCTCTCTAGGTTTGTAGCAGTAGCTGTGGAGGAGGCCTGGGTGAAGCCTCATTGCCAAGAACATGTGCTCCTACATGTGAGAGAGTCCCTCATAAACACTTTCAGCTCTAGACACGACCCACGCTGGAAATCCTGCAGCAGCCAGGCATCCTCCAGCGCTTTCAAATACTGCAGCACAGGCTCACCACGGTGACACACACACACACACACACACACACACACACACACACCTCAGTCCACCATGTATAAAGAGCCAAGATTAACCCTTTAAAATCTAGGGAAACATTAAAAGGTTAAACTACATGTCTAGCCTATTAGTTGCATATTAGTTACTGAATAATTCATAATAGATAATAAGCCTTGAAGGTATTCTTCTGCATTTATGACCTAATATCTACCAACTGGATCTGTAATTCTGTGATGAAAGAGATGTTCCCCACCTTCAGAAAACCTCTTTACTCCAAATGTACTTATAATACAAGTTAATGGCCAGATGCTTTATACATATATATGTGTGTGTGTGTGTGTGTGTGTGTGTGTGTGTGTGTATCAGATATAATATATATCAATGGGCTGAAGTATTTCTTTAAGATTAATAATGAATAATAAACCTAGGGATACAGAGAGAGAGAGAGAGAGAGAGAGAGAGAGAGAGGAGCAGATAGAGGCAGGTTGATGATTTGTCCCCTGGGAAGTGACCATGCCTGACCAGGACTTCCATGCAGGACACACACACACACACACACACACACACACACACACACTGTACAGTGCTGCCTGTCCTTCCTCAGTCAGATACAGAAAGCATTATCATTCTCCTCACAGCAACCTTGCAGCGCAGGCCCGTGCCAACACACACACACACACACACACACACACACACACACACACACACACACACACACATACACATCACTCTTATTCTCTCATATCCTGCACCTCTGTCTATCTGACTATACTGAGTGTCTGTGTGTTTATATACATTGTATGTGCACCAGAAAAAGGGCATGAAGTGCATAAACACATGGGTTTTTCTCTCATACACACTTATATATTTGCACCATCACAGGTTCTCAGTGCAGAATGCACTCCACTGGTTCTTATCCACCGGATACAATCAAACACCAAAGCCCCCCTGCCAGCACCGGACAACCTGCCAGCTGTTTGACAAACCTTGTCCACCTCAAACATGCACACACACAGAAGCAGTGGTCACTCACCCTGGCTGTTGGTGCCCCCCTCGCCCTCCTCACAGTCGGTTACGTTGTTGAGCATGTCAGCCTTCTTCCACTGTAACACCGCCGCTGCTGCTCCAACCAGCCGCCGAGCGAGAGCAAATCACACGCACACACACGCAGAGCAGAGCGGAGGAGGAGTGGACGAAGGAGGAGGAACAAGCGTACAGCTCTCTCTCTCTCTCTCCCTCTCTCTCTCTCTCTCTCTCTCTCTCTCTCCCCCCTAAAGAAAAAGAGCAGTACTGCTTTGCCGGAGCAGCCTTTTTGTCATTTGCTGCTTTGCGTGTTGCTCTCTCTCTCTTGTCTCTCTCTCTCTCTCTCTCTCTCTCTCTCTCTCCAGGAGGAGGGGTGTGTGTGTGCGAGCATGAGACGCTGCAGGGGAGTAGATGATGGAATGCCTAAGAGTGCATCTCTCTCTCTCTCTCTCTCTGCTATAAAAGCTATCTAAGTCACTGTGTAAATACAGTATGTTTTCGTGAGGAATTCCTGCTGCTTGTTCATTGTGAGTCTCCCTCTCTTGCTCTCTCTGTATGTACTACTGCTCTCTCACTCTACTCTGTCATTGTTAAGAAAGTGGAAGGGAGAGACTGCAGGGACAGAGGGAAAGATGAGGGGTTGAGAGAATGAAAAAAGAATGAAAAAGGAATGTAGTAAGGCTATTTGACTTTAATAGCTGTTCTTCACATCTATTGCTGTAGATGCTGGTGAATTATTTAATTTGGAATAACCGAAAGAATTCAAGCATTTTTGCTTCTACATGGATTTTGACATTGGGTCCCATACAACTGTCAGATTCCCGTTCATCTGCCCAAATGCATTCAATCAGCCAAGACATGTTTGACATCTGAAATTTGCTTCTTTAGTTTTGCACTGGAGCTATGAGGCTAATCTAGCTAACAAATAAAAAGTTATAAGTGATCTTACTAGACTTGCTTATGTGGTTTCTGACACTGACAGTATATGATACTCAGTGGGGAATCATGAAGGCTTTCTAATTTGGGAACTCAAAAATACAATTTAATTGGTTAATTTCTGTTTAATACCATCATCATGCTTGTTGTATTTAAACTCTGCAAGTATTGTACTGATACTCATGGTTAAGCTTTGGTTGGAAACAAAAGGGTTTGAATCTCAAAATACCCAACATTTTTTCCTCTTTGCTATCAAAGCTGATAGAGCAAAGTGAGCTCACCCATTGGTTAGGACTTCAGGAGCTGGACTGAAGGCCTAAACTATTAGATTAACTACCAACATAATTAGGAAGAGACAAAGGGATCACCAGTCATGTTTTGTTTTCCAATGGGTGGGACCAAGTTTGTAAGAAAGAACACTCTAGGCCTTTGAGAAGTGCAAGATACATCACCAACGGCATGTATGAGCCATAGTCTCACCAGGATTCGTTTAGATGTTAGACACGGGAAACTGCTGGCTATGTCTCTTTACCAAGGGAGTCACTATAAAGTAAAATATATGTTAATGTCTGTTAAAAGCTTTAAATAAAACCTGCAATATCTTTTACAAGCTTGAAATATCTCTGTTTAATATATGAATGATCAAAAAAATGTTCAGGTGCACCAACGCTAGCAATAACATACTATTAAAAATCTCATAAGGATGCTAGTAGAAATAATCTATGTTGTTAAAGTTTTTAAGCTTAGATTGTATACCAAAGCTTGGGCCCTGGTCAAATGACATATTTTGTTAATTTTCTAAGTAAATAAATGAACATATTCTCTACAGAGAACACACTTATACATATCTTGCATAGTTACCGTTTACTTGCTAAATTTAGCACACTGGAAAAGAAATAAAACATAAAAAGAGGCCTGTTCCAAAGTTTACGGCACACTTTATACTTTTTTATACTTTTTTTTCAATGTGCTAAACTAAATTAATAGAAATAGTGTGCTAAAATTGGCAGAAAAATACCATGTTTAAGTGAGTCCTCTGTAGAGGATGTTTTAATTTATGTTAACTTAGAAAATCAACAAAATATGTAATTTGACCAAGGGTGCTCAAACCTTTGCATACGACCGAATGGCCTGAACTGAAGACTCTAATATGCATGAAGCTATTCTGTGAAATATAAGTTTCCTTTATCTGTTAGCTACATTAGCCTTTCCAGGAACTGCAGGCTGTGGCGTGGTTGAAATAATAACAGAATACTGGGAATGGTGTTTTTTCCACTCTTTCAGCCTTTTAGGAGCATCTACTATATGACCTCATCACTTCATCCCGGAGCATCTCCAAAGGCAGAGAGCTTTCTATAAATACAACACCGAGCATGAGGGAGAACGGCTCTCTCCAGGAGAAGAAAGATGGGAAGAAGGAGAAGGAATGAGAGGCCCTTAAATGGTGCACATGAATGATAAAAAGCACTTTTGAGAGTTTGAGAGGAATGAAGGCATCCAAACACATGGAGAGAGGGAGATGGGAAAAGAGGTTGGAAGATGAAAAGCAGTGGACATGATGGTGGACAGAGATGTGGAGATAAAGAGGTTAAGAGGTAAAGACAGAGAACAAATGAAAAGAAAAACACTTGTAAAAATCAAAGTGCCTTTGGAGCAAAGCCATAGAAGAACCACTTTTTGTTCCCTAAAGAACCTTTCAGTGGATGGAACCGTTTTTATAAAGGAGATATTTGAGTGTCAAGAACCTTTTTAAAGTTTAAAGAACCTGCACATAATGTAAAGGTACTGAAAGTTTGCACCATTTAACCTTATTTTTAATACAGAGAGTAAAGAAGTTTGCTGTGTTTTGAAAATGAAAAATATAATCTGACATTTTTCAGCATTTATTGCCTGTATTACAGCCTCCGTTCTTTTCAGGAGACTTGCTTTTAGTTTTTCAAAGTTAAATCTTGTAAATGTTCTGTTAATACATTACTTATATTTAGTAGATGTACTGTTAATATGTTACTTCCATTATAAAACATAACCTTATCCAACCTTACCCAACACCTAACCCAAACCCTGGCCCTAATCCTAACCCTAACTTTAACCTCAATCCAAAATCTGATCCTAACACTCATACTGGCCCTAATCCTAACCCTCACCTTAACCTCAACCCAAAACCTAATCCTAACCTTCACCCCGGTCCTAATCTTAAACCTAACCTTACCCTAACCCAAAACTTAATCCTAACCCTCATATGTTTTTGACATGTTACTGAGAGTCCATTGAGTGTTTAATCTAAGAGGACCACTCAAAGTGTCACCAAAGTTGGTTGCATTTTCTGCTTCTCACAATCCAAGTAATCCCAACTACATTCAGTGAAGGTTGAGGTCTGGACTCTGGGCTGGTCAGTCCGTTCTGTTCCGAGAACACCAGCAGCTTCTCTGTTTCATACACCTTGATCTTCTCAGCAGTGTGCCTGGGGTTGTTATTTTACTGTAGAAAGATTTTTCCAGAGGGTTTGATCTACAATTTTTTTTCTATTTTCCTTTTCTCAGTAAGGGCTTCTTAACAGCTACACGTCCTTTCAGACTCATAGTGTTGAATGTCTTCTCACAGTGGAAGGATGGACAGAAACACCTGTGGATTTTTTCATCTGAAGCAGCTTGACTTTCTCCTCTCTCTCAGAGATGAAAGCTTTCAGTACTGTTTTTCTAATAGGGACAGTTTTGTTGGTCTACCAGGTCTAGAAGGTGGTGGTTAGGAGTCTCATTTTCTCTGTACCTTTTAACCATTTTTTGAAGCCCAATTTTGTAAACTGTTCACTTATCTTCCTTTGACTTTTATTTTCTGAATGCAAGCGTATTATTTTATATCTAATCTTCTCAGAAATACCTCCTGAACACTGAAAAGGAAAATGGCTGGCAATTGGAAATGAAATAAATGAAGGGTCTCTGACTTTTCCACAGTACATCTGTATCTTCTACACTCTTAAAAATATGGTTCTTCAACGGTTCTATATAGAACCACGAAAAGATTCATTTCACGCTTAAATGATTCTTTGCATGGTAAAATAGTTATTCAGATTGATGGAGAACATGTTGTAGATGGTTCTATATAGATTCTTCTTGAAAATGCTTCTATTAAGCACTAAAAACAGCTCTATTGTAACAAGCTTGACATCATAACAATAGAACCCAGAACATTTTTCAAAAACATTCTAGAACCATATACAACACATTCTCTCTATCCGAAGAACGATTTCATCATGCAAATAACCTTTTAATCATGCAAATGGTTCTTTTAGTGTTCTTGGTTTGATATAGAACCATTGTCTTGCACTAAAAAACCCCCTGAAGAACCATCGATTTTAGGAGTGTAAGACTATATCAGCGTATTTTAACAGCATTTATTCTCAAGCATTTCTGGACATTCAAAGACTGGCGTTTGTGTTATAACCCACAACGGTCATTTTCTAGAATCTTCACAGCACTGGTTGGTTTACATTTATCAGAAAGTCATTTGGCTGAAATGAGACAGGTTAATGCGGCTGCCTCAGGGAAATCCAGAGCGTCTATTCTCATAAAGGACATACTTAGTAGTGAAGCAGTATTGATGTGAAAACTGCTATATTGCTTTGCCCTCTTTACTGAACCGTGCAATGACAGCACTAAGATTAACTCACAGCGCAATATAAACTCGAAGACAGTGTAATTAGATTCGCAAAGAGGGGGTGAAAATAGAATTTCTTTTTTCTATGGAAAGAGTTGATTTGCAATTCTGATGCTGCAAAAAAGCACGTTCAAATAGCATTTTATATGTAAGCAATCTAAAGGAGAATTGAACAGATTTTTCCAAATTCATACATGATTCAGTAATTAAGATGAACAGTCAATCAGATGTGAAGTGGTTCACTGTAGAGAAACTTACCAACTCAGATTTCTATACAGTGGAGGTGATAGGAACCAGGGTTCACAATGTCTACAACACAAATACTGACATTTTATATCGTCTCCAAAACTACCAGTGAACCTACCCGTGTCTTATGTGTTTTTAGATTAAATATTGTCCCTGTTTTAAAAAAATCTATCTCCATTTTTGACCATTTCTTTGAATATGATTGCTGTCCTTTACATTGCGTGAAAATTTCTTGGTGAATAGACCAACAGAAATGCTCCACAATCACTTGGAATAAAACCTTGTTACATTTACTTGCATTAAAA